GTCCACATACTTCTGGTGGGACGCCGACGGGCAGCGGCGTACCATCCATCAGGGCGAAGGGTGCAAACAATTGGACGCCCTGGCACCGGCGCTATACGCCTTATACGACGCACTTGTTGCTGCAGACGAACAGCTGCGCCCCGGCGAGTGTCTCAGTGTCTCACGGCCTTCCGCGACGACGTCTGCTTAGTCACAACACCGTTACGCGCGCGAGAGGCGCTTGATGTTATAACGTCCTCTATCGAGACCCGGGCGGGCGTCGCCACGAACCTTGGCAAAACGCGAGTGTACAACCGTGATGGAGGTCCTGCGCCCGAGGCGCGGCTGTTGCAGGAGCTCCCCCTGCTGCCCGACCTCCAGTGTGCATGGCTCCTCCTCACCATGTGCGCCTCGCCGCGCGTCACCTCTTGCGCACCCTCCCGCCCGACCTCTCTGCCAGCTATGCGCGTGGCCACGACGACGCTGTCTGGCGATTCCTGCTCGTGCTGCTGGGTGAAGAAGACGGTGCTGATCCCGAGGTCGCTGCAGCACGCCGTCTCGCGTTGCTGCCGGCTCGTTTGGGGTTTGGGAGGCCTGCAGTGCGCCGAGCGCACCGCCTGCTGGTGACAGGGCCGCCGGTGCTGCCTGTGCTGCGCGGGGCACCGCTTCCAAGCTGCACGCGCGCCCCGGGTCCAGGGTGCACGCGCCGTCTGTGTCCTAGGTGCACGCGCAACGTTGGACACCTGCGCGCTGTCTTGCTAGGACATGCATGAATGTGCTTGGAGGTCTACATTTCCTGGTTGACCTTGAACAGTTTTGGCTCCAAGCTCGAAGGTCTGTGCAAGGCTCGTGCGTCATGGCGGCAAAGGATCGGCATCTGGCAGCAAAGACCATTGAGTGGGTCATTGCTGCAGAGTCCATCGGCGCCTCGCTTCCCCGCAGCCTGTGGGCCCTGATGGCATGTGCAGAGCAAGACCTTTGGGACAAGCTCGAGCGCCTTGTCATCGGAGACGAGATCCATGAATTGCCTCTTAGCATCTCCGAGCTGGCCGACAGCAGTGACAGCGCCTACCGATGCCTACCGTAGCTTCCAGTGTGGCTGGGAGCGCTTCGCTGTTCGCGCCACAGCCCGGGAGTTGGGCGCGATTCATGACCGCATCACGCGGTTGGAGCGCGAGCTGGCCAAGTTCGAAGAAGCGACGAGCAGCCCGCCCATGTCGTTTTCGCCGCCATATTCGGACAACGAGCTGACCACACATACTGCGCTTTTGTTAGTGCGCGTAAAGCTTTTGATGTGGCTTGGCGAGATGCCGTTCTTTTGAATCGGGCCTCTGCCGGTGTCAGTGGTGGTTTATGGTCGGTTGTCGCAGACCTGGTCACCGAGACCACTGCGCGAGTTTCTGCGAACGGTTCTTTCTCGGCGTTTTGGGCCCACCGTTGTTCCACCTGTTGTTTGATGGCGTCGCCGCAGCTGTACGTGCTGGTGTTGCACTGGGTTATCGGCCTATGCCTTGCAAAAGGCTCTCACTGCCGTACGCCGTAGGCGTCTGGGGTTGACAGTGGCGGTTCCTTTTTGGCATCGGCCCTCATAAAACCGCTGTTCCTGTTGTGGATTCGCGCACGACAAACTTTGCGTTCCACCTTTCGGGAAACCTTGTGCCTTGTATGCGTCACTACTGTTACGTCGGAGTCGTGTTTCAAGCTTCCAGGAAGTGGCGGAAGCATGCCCGACGCCGTATTGAGAGGAGCACTGTAAATTTCATAAGCTCGTTATGCACAAAACCGAATCGTCGCCATTCGCTTCCGGCAACATTCTGTATTCGTCATAGCCTGGGACGTGGCTCTTCTTCCAGCGTGCCTGGACTTCAGTTTGGTTTCCTCAAAAAAGAATTCCTCATGCTGTCGCGCAGGTTATTGCCGCATGCAATGTTCGAATGAACGCTGCCAGTGGCATTCCCGGTGGTCATGCAGTTGATGCTTCGCTTGTTGTTCCACATTTGTACAATAGCAGATAACCTTCTTGTAGCAGGTTACTGCCGAGGTTGTCGTAGTCGCCGGTGCCCCTGCCATGATGTTGTGCCTGCTGGCGCCAGTGGTCCCTCTAGACCTCCTCTTGCTGATGCTTGCCGGAGCCTTCATGCAGTGATCGCGTGCAGCGTGGATGCATTTCCCATATTTGTTCATCATATTTCCGCGCTCGCTCTTGCCGTTGCAGCGTTGTCGTCATGTGTCCTGTGATCCTGTTGTTGCCCCTGGGTGCCGCACGGGGTAAGGTCAGTCGCATTGCACTAGTGCTCAGTGTGGTTGTAGCCGGGCGTTGAAGATGATGCCTCCTGCAGCGGCCCCGACACCTCCTGGACAGCGTTCCCGCTTAAGGCTGGCCGAGTGGTGCAAAAAAAAAGGTGGTGTTGAACATCGTGTTTTGGGTTATCCGGCCTGCTGCAGCCGTAGTCTGTCGATCTGTTGTGCGTGCAGGGCACTTGTGCGCCTGACGGTGCGCCGCTTCCCGTCTACGGGATACAAGGAATCGGGTGAAACCGTGGAAGGAGGCGCACAACCGGCCAGAGCGGGACTGCACCGCTTGCAATTAACAAATATCATTGCCAACGGTCTTGAGTTGTGGGGTGGCGCTCAACTCGCAGTTGACACCACCCTGGTTTCACCCCTGAACTCCGCCAGCGTCCCTGGTCGAGCAGGCGGCCGCACGACCGGTGCAGCCTTGGTACAAGCTCGCAAAGCTCAGGAGCATACATACCCCAGGCCCCGCCAATCTGCCAGGTGCAAAATTGTGCTAGCTCTAGAGTTCGGCGGCCGCTGGAGCCATGAGGCCGCTTCTTTTGGTGAGGCTCCTTGCTCGCTCACGCGCGCGGGCCGTTCCGGCCGTCATCCGCCGACCGAGCATCTCAGCTTTTGCGTCCCGGTGGTCCGCCCGGCTCTCCTTTGCAGCCGCCCGTTCCCTTGCCGCCCGCCTTCTGTCCTTGGTTTTGGCCGGCACGGCTAATCTCGACGGCGACGTCCCGCTCCTGAGCGACGTCCTTGCCGACACCCCTCGAAGGCCGCGTGCCTCGTGCCACATAGTTTGCAGTCGGCCCTGGACTTGGGTCTGCCCTGGGACCCTGTTTGGAGGACGCCGGTAGCAAGGTCCGTGGGTTATTAAAAAAACGGCAAGTGCCGGAGGCATCGGAGCCTCCTACCACCCAGCACCCGGTCTGTTTCCCGAATGCCGGAAACGTTGGAGTGGGGGCTCGTGCTCCGTGCAGCCGCGGTGGTCCAGCTGAGGGGGCGGCGCGAGCGAGGAATTGACATTATGTTGCGCGCCGTCGCTGTGCCGGAAGAGAGCCACTATTTTCCGGCAGGAATGCAGGAGGGGCTGCTCGCATTTCTGCTGGGCAAACACGGCGTCTCGATCTTGGAATGGGATATTGCCGCGCTTCGCCAGCCCAACGGGCTGCCCCGCGCCGCGTCCTCGCCACCCCCGTTGCAGCCGACCCCATCAATGGCGGGGCGCATGCGCGCGGCGAGGCGCCCACCCCACAGGTTGTGCCAGCTGCGCCGGCACCACGTCGGGCCACACGTCTTCTTGACAGGCGCGCCGGACACCACCACAAGGCGACCACGCCGTCGCAGACCGACTCGACGACGCGCCTCCCCACACTGACGACTCTGCGTATAAGCTGCGCGCCGTTCGCCCCGGTACTCATCCCATTTGTGCGCCTCTCGTGTTGACAACAGTCCACATACTTCTGGTGGGACGCCGACGGTCAGGGCGACGGGTGCAAACAATCGGACGCCCTGGCACCGGCGCTATACGCCTTAGGCCAACACGACGCCCTTGTTGCTGCAGACGAACAGCTGCGCCCCGGCGAGTGTCTCAGTGTCTCACGGCCTTCCGCGACGACGTCTACTTAGTCACTTCACCGCTACGTGCGCGAGAGGCGCTTGATGTTATACGTCCTCTATCGAGACCCGGGCGGGCGTCGCACAAACCTTGGCAAAACGCGAGTGTACAACCGTGATGTCGGGCCTGCGCCCGAGGCGCGGCTGTTGCAGGAGCTCCCCCTGCTGCCCGACCTCCAGTGTGCATGGCTCCTCCTCACCATGTGGGCCTCGCCGCGCGTCACCTCTTGCGCACCCTCCCGCCCGACCTCTCTGCCAGCTATGCGCGTGGCCACGACGATGCTGTCTGGCGATTCCTGCTCGCGCTGCTGGGTGAAGAAGACGGTGCTGATCCGGAGGTCGCTGCAGCACGCCGTCTCGCGTTGCTGCCGGCTCGTTTGGGGTTTGGGAGGCCTGCAGTGCGCCGAGCGCACCGCCTGCTGGTGACAGGGCCGCCGGTGCCGATGCACTGCCTGTGCTGCGCGGGGCACCGCTTCCAAGCTGCACGCGCGCCCCGGGTCCAGGGTGCACGCGCCGTTTGTGTCCTAGGTGCACGCGCAACGTTGGACACCTGCGCGCTGTCTTGCTAGGACATGCATGAATGTGCTTGGAGGCCTACATTTTCCTGGTTGACCTTGAACGTTTTGGCTGCAAGCTCGAAGGTCCGTGCACGGCTCATGGCGGCGGAGGATCGGCATCTGGCAGCAAAGACCATTGAGTGGGTCATTGCTGCAGAGTCCATCGGCGCCTCGCTTCCCCGCAGCCTGTGGGCCCTGATGGCATGTGCATAGCAAGACCTTTGGGACAAGCTCGAGCGCCTTGTCATCGGAGACGAGATCCATGAATTGCCTCTTAGCATCTCCGAGCTGGCCGACAGCAGAGACAGCGCCTACCGATGCCTACCGTAGCTTCCAACGTGGCTGGGAGCGCTTCGCTGTTCGCGCCACAGCCCGGGAGTTGGGCGCGGTTCATGACCGCATCACGCGGTTGGAGCGCGAGCTGGCCAAGTTCGAGGAAGCGACGAGCAGCCCGCCCATGTCGTTTTCGCCGCCATATTCGGACAACGAGCTGTCGCAAGGTAGCTATGTCAGCTGAGCTTTTGTTCGCAGCTCTGCGAGCTTCTGCAGCCCAGTGCTCCTTCAGAGGCTGTTCTTGTACCATAGCATCGAGTCAGCTCAGCTTTGTTCGCACCTCTGCGACTCTGCGAGTGTCTGCAGCCCGGTACTCGAGAGGCCGTTCTTGTACCATAGCATCGAGCTACGCCGCATCTGCTCCGTTGCTGTAAAATGCCAGGCTGCACCTGCTTGCAGACGTGGCGCCAAGATTTTCCTATGCGTGCCAAACTCCGGTGTGCGCTGTGTCAGACTAAACACTCAGCATGTTCCTTGTTGCCCTCTTATCGGTCCAAGAAAGGGCGGGGGGGATTGCAGAGTTCAGGAAGAGGCCAGCGGCCGCGGCAAGCCGCAAGCATGTGCGCAAGGGAACGCTGAAGAAGCCGGTTGCTGCTCCCGTCGCCTACGATGTCCAGATCGCTGCGCTGACGCACGAGGGGAACGTCTGGACCGAGGAGAAGTTCCACAGCTGGATCAAGGAGACCATCCGCAAGAAGGAGCCCTCCTTTGAGGTCGTACTGAGCTTTAACAACCGCGTCGAGGCGCTGAGTTTCTATGTCCGGTTGTCATGTCGCAGCTGTACCACGTGTCGCTGGAAGGGAGTGGCTAGGTACCAGTTCCGTTCAAAAAGAAGCCGAGATCTGGGCGACGCTGGCGAAGTATCATGGCAACTTCGACCGTGTCTATCGGCGCAGGGACGATGTGAAGCTTATGGGTCTGACGGACAGAACCAAGGCCTTCGTGCGGGAGTACTGCAGCAAGCACCCAAGTGCGAGAATCCAGCAGCTGCTTCAGGACCCCGCTTGGTTTCGGATGGTTTTGATGGGTCATGGATTTTGAGGGTCGGATATTTCGCAGGTTTTAGATGGAGTTAGTTAACCCTACGTACCCCTCCAAAGTTTGAAATTGGGAGATTTGCGGTGCCTAGTTATCCCGTAAACTCTAAACTCTGAACTCTAAACCCTAAACCCTTACCCGAACGTCCTTAACCCTAAACCTCATAACTCATAACCTGACTACGCAGCAAGACAAAAGGTACTCCTGGATGCAAATCCTTCCTGCCGAGATCTCCTTGCGTGGCAGTTTAGGGTTTAGGGAAGCCCTAAACCCGAAACCATAAACCCTGAACAACTCTGAATCCTCAACCCTATACCCTAGACCTAAACCCAAAACCCGAAACTTTCATGAGATCCAGCGGAGAAAGCTGCAGAAGCACCCACCAGCGGAAAAGCTTGTGCAGCAGTACCGGGGGAACCTGCGGCGAGGCAGCCGTGCTGGTATTTCCTTGGGGAAGATGACCGAGTGGAACTCGGCGGACTACGATCACTTCATCGAGACAACCCCGCGATTCGCAGACAACCGCGCCACCGACAGCCCGCACTTCGAGAAGCTCTGCTTGATCTTGGGAGAAGCATTTGGGTCAGAGTTTGGAGTCAGAGTTTGGGGCCAGAGTCTGGAGTCTGGGTCAAAGTTTGGGTCCGGGTTTGGCCTCTGGGTTTGGGTTTGGGGTCAGAGTTTAGGGCCAGAGTCTGGAGTTTAGGTCAGAGTTCGGGTCCGAGTCTGGGGTCTGGGTTTGGACCAGGGTTTGGGTCAGAGTTTGGGTTAGAGTTTGGAGTCAGAGTTCAGAGTCTGGAGTCTGGAGTCTAGGTCAGAGTTTGGGTCTGAGTCTGGGGTCTGGGTATGGACCAGGGTTTGGGTCAGAGTTTGCGTCGGAGTTTGGGGTCAGAGTTTGGGGCCAGAGTCAGTCTGGAGTCTGGAGCAGAGTTTGGGTCCGAGTCTGAGTCTGAATTTAAACATGCTTTAAGTCAGATTTTGTGGTCCGAGTCTGAATTTGCACCAAGCTTTGAATCTGACTTGATTAGAAAATTCTATCACTATCCTTATTTGCCAATGTCATGAATCTGAAAGCCGTCATACTTGATTCTTTTCATAGAAAAATCATAATGTTATAATAAGAAATTTGTAATCTTTTCTCAACTTCCATTATTTCATATTTTAACTGTTCAAATTTGAGAAAGGGAGTCTAGATCCGATTTTAGAATCCGGGTCCGAGTCTCGACCTCTAAAATCGAATCCTATTTAGCGAGCGACACTCCCATCTTCCATTGCAGTCTATATGAACAATATAATCGAGATTATATTATTATCCTCATTTGCCAATTTCATAAAATACGAAAATCGTAATACTTCATAAAATACGAAAATCGTGATACTTACCTCTTTTTATAGAAAATTATGACGCCATAAAAAGAATACTTCCAATCTTTGCGCGACTTCCATTATTTCATGACTTCCCTTGATATATATATATACATGTTTTTTTCGTATATCAATATTCAAGATTTTCTCGACACGTATCGCCCTTGACGACCATCTATTTGAACACTGTAATCAAGACTTTCTTATTACCATATACTATCATCATAATTATAACTTACCCATACTTTTATTATTTGACACATACCTTCACATGTCAGGATGAATGACTTTCTCGAAACATACCACCCTTCGCGACCAACTATTTGAACACTGTAACCAAGACTATCTTATCACCCCTACTACTATCATCACTTGCCAAAATTATTATCTTCCCATAATTTTATTTGACACATCTTTTCGCATATCAACATGAATGACTGTTGACATACCGTCCTTCACCACCATCTATTTGAACACTATAATCATTTGCTACATCTTCTCATCCGTATGTGAGCACAGGACGTGTAACCGGCCATGCTGTTTGCACTGCCATGCTCTCCTGCTCGAACGCAAACGACCGGCGGCCTGCTCTTGTGACTAGCCGGAAGGTGTCTTGGACGTCCTTCCGAATGCGTGCTCCTGCTCAAATTTCAAAGGTTGTCCGAGTGGAGAGTCTGAGCCCGAATCTCGGCCCTCCAAAATTGAAATCCAGGTTCAGGGTTGGAGTTCGGGGGCAAAGTTTGGATGAGCGAAGCGTAGGTTGGAGTGTAATATTTCTTTCCATCCCACCACCCATCCCACCCGCCAAAAGCTTATGAGCTGGGTGGTCTGGGGTGGGATTGACACGAACGTTCTGCGTGTGTGTTGCTGCTATCTCCCCAACACACACGCAGCCAACTAATCGTAAACCGTAAACCCTAATTCCTAAACCCGAAACCCTAAACCCTTAAACCCTGATTCCTCAACCCTAAACCCTAAAGCCTGAACCCTAAACCCTGCCCAGGTGGAAAAGAGGTGATAAAAAAAAAGAACCCTAAACCCTAAACCCGAAACCCTAAACCCTAAACCCAAATGCCTCAACCGTAAACCCTAAACCCGAAACCCTAAACCCTGATTCCTCACTCCTAAACCCTAAAGCCTAAACCCTCAACCTTAAACCCGAAACCCCAAACCCTAAACCCTAATTCCTCAACCCTAAACCCTGAACCCTCAACCCTAAACCCTAAACCCTAAACCCCAAAGCCTAAACCCTAAGCCCTAGACCCAAGCCATTTTGGCCCAAGGCCCGAAATCTCTGTGCCGGGGCCGCTGTCAGGTGGTAGGGGGCCATTCGCTGGGCGGGTTCAGCGCTCCCAAGGGTCGGTGCGTGTGGAGATCGGGGTCGAGCTCGGTAAGTTGGCGGCTCGTGTACCTCCTGGCCTTCCCCGGCGGTGCGGACCGGTACTTTATCCTGAAGCAGGGCAGAAGTGTTTGTGTGCTGACAGTGGTCTGATCAGGGGAGGTCGACCTCGACCCTACTTGGGGTCCTGGTGTCGTGATGGCTGAGGTTCGCACGGGCATGCAGATTCCGCTTCCCGGGGGTCTGCCTGATGATGTGGACGAAGACCTTGATGAACCGAAGAGGGGTGGGGAGCGGGGAGATCGACATGCCAGCCCGAAGAAACATAAAGGGGATGAGACGGTAACGATGTCTTCTCTTCGGTCAGTCCTTGCTGAAACCTCAATGCAACTTCTTCAGGCACAACAACAACAGATGAGCGCAGCCTTAACTGCCTTCGAAGAGAGGCAAAGTGGGCGCCTTGACAGGGTGGAGACGAAACTCAGTGATCAAGGGGCAGCGGTGGAGGACGTGCAGAATCAGCTTCGAGAGCTACAGGATCGCATATCCAAGGTGGAAAACAGGTCTGCTCCGGCAGTTGGGGCCGGGGCCTGACAGAAAATCCACCTTAGTCTTCGGTGGTTGGGCTTCTGATACCAGGAAAAGCATCTTGTTGCCTCAGCTTGATCATGCTCTTCGCGAATTACAGTTGAAATCGGCCTTGGACTCGGAGCCCTTCACTACTGGTGCTCGACGATCAGTCGCTCTTTGCCAGTTTAGGCGCAGGACTGGTGAAGCCGATGGGGACACTAAACAGAGGATGCTGCAGGTGCTCCAGACTATCAATGCAGCTAAAGTGCAGCTGGAGGGGGCCCCCCGCCCCCTCTGGGCGTCGTTTAATAAGTCGCCGGAGGAACGAGGACGTGGGGCTCTGACCGCGGTTGTCAAAATAGCAGTCTTGCAGCTTGCCCCCCGGCGACAGTTAGATCTTGACCTGGAGTATAGCAGTGGTCGCTCTTGGATTAAAGAGGACCAGCTCTCTGGTATGGGGTCGCCACCGGCTGACGCCAGGGGGGGCAAAGATTGTCAACACCAAGGGTGGAGAAGGATGGATTGATGAGAAGACACTTTCCAAATGGCTTGATGTCTCGGTGGATGAACTTAGGAGGGTGACGGATCAGCATCGCTTCTGAGAGGAGGCAGGGGCGTCTGACAGCCTTGAAGCTGCAGGCCCCTCGGTGTCTTCGCTGAGATCTTCCGATGTGGCTCCCCCCTCGCTTCGGGCAACCCCCGAAGCAGTGCCTTAAACTCTCTTGCCTCGAATACCTCAGCTATGCAGTGTCTCAGGGTTTTCAGCTGGAATGTGGGTGGGACTGAGCTGCAGGAAGTGCCAAAGGCAATTCGGGAGACCATTGGATCGCAGTGCCAAAAAGCTGACCTTGTCCTGCTGCAAGAGGTTCCGCGTGAGAAAGAGGGACGGTCGTATCAAGAGCTGGAGGGAAAGAGGATTGTATCGCACAGACACTCTGCACAGTGGAGAGGGACAGGACTTTGGTATGATGAATCGCAGTGGTGTGTCCTCAAGAAGATCCACAGTTCAAAGGGGGGTGTGGTACCATCTCCGGCACTTGGAAGTTGCCTTGGAAATCTGGGTTGGTACATCTCATTTCACGCCAGGATGTACAGTCAGCAAGTATGAGGAGGAAGTTCAGGATCACTTTGACTCACTGCCACAACATGCACAGAGGGCGGTGTACCTCGGGGATGTGAATGCAGGGTTCACATGGGTGCATGATGGGGCTGCGATTACCCCCTCCCCCAAAGATGGTAAGGGCGGTTTCTTGCACCAGACACTAGTGGCCAAAGGGCTCTGCATGGGGGTTCCCGAAGCACATCAACTTGAGACGCCGACAAGCAGACCTCGACAGAAGAACCGATAGGGGCAATGCATTGATGTTATGAGTTCCCGAGGGCTTAGGGTTGGACAATGGCACATCCACACGGACAACTTTATGCATCTCCCAAAGTACAGGGCCTCGCAACATCGTTGTCAACGGCTCCAGAATTGAGGCAGGGGACAGCTTGGAGGTGATGGGGATCACACTTCGGGTGGGTATCTCGATATGTGAGCTCATTTCCCCTCTAGCGAGTCGGGCCAGAGCCAAATTTTGGGAACTCAAACATGTTTTTTCGAGCCAAGGGTGGTGGGATGAAGCAGCGAGTTAGAGTCATGCACAGGGTGGTTGGAGGGACTGCACTTTGGTGCATAAGCTGCATACCTCCAGACGCTGCAGGTATGACTATGCTTAACTCGGTACAACTTCAGCTCATGGTATGGTTGTTGAGATTTGCCAGGAAGACTGATGAAGATTGGGAAGGGTTCAGGCAGAGGGCTTTTCGTGGTGCACGAGCTGCACTTCATTCGGCAGGGGTTGAACGATGGAGCACGATGTGGCTTCGGAGGTATTCGTCCTTCGCTGGTCATAGAGTCCGAACCACCCTCCATGAAGTCCCACCCGTTAGTTCAGAGTTCGAGAACTTCAGAACCCTACCTTGGTGGCTCCATCAGAAATCGATCAAGCACGGGATCAAACATCAAGGACGCGACTATGCCAGACTCACTCTCCTTGAACAGAAGATGGATATGGTGGCAGGGCATCCATGGCGCAGTTTGGCTTACGACAGAAGGGCTTGGAAGGGCAGGGAAACAAACCGGGTCAACACGATGGATGTACCTTGGTCCTCGGGTTGGCAACTCTCAGTCAAAGACACGTAGAGTACCACAGGTGAGCGGGCTGCATGTCAAACTAATTCGTAACACACTGTGTGCTTTGTGCTCTGTTGCACTCTCCCACTCGTAACGAGAGAC